AAAATACGTTTTGCGTTTACTGGCTTTCAATTAAGCCTCACAACGCCAAAATGAATCGAATTCCAGTTCGCAGAGTGTATACTATTAAGCTTGTAGACCAAGAAGCCGTAATTAACGTTCGCTTGTAATGAGTGTTTGATTGCTTAATACGAAAATGATTCCACTCTTCTGTTACAATGTTCCAGTTTTAGCTGTTTTGCCGATAAGTTAAACAAACGTATATACATTGCGAATGGGTTCAGCTTAAGATTTTGCTGATGTCCCCTATAAGCCGGCCGGACACCTGTCTAAGACGGACAGTTGGAACCGTCCCCGAAGGTGTTCGTCTTAGAGAGAGCTGACTGTACGTCGCTATTCAACTCGTTGTGCAGCAAGTGTTGTAAAACAATTTGCACGTTTCTAGTTGCCTGTTTAACCTTACCGTTATAAGCATTTGCTAACATTCCAAATATGCAGCTCGATTAATCACAAGTTCACTTACTTATAGAGAGGCGAATTGTAATTTGAGGCAAAAATTGAAATTTGCTGTAGCAGCCTACAATATTTTTAACCTTAAAAGCCGTAAGCTTTGGAATAGTTTTTTCCTCCTCACGTTTTATAGCGCCTGCGAGCAAGCTCTCCGGAGTGCTCTGGCGGAGGGGCGGGAAAAGGAAGGAGAGCTTGCAACTAGGTCTCTGGAATTTGAATTCAACCTCCAACTGCCCCGTGGCTCCCCGTCGATTGATCTGTCAGATTTTTGCTATTCAGCGCGAAGCGGAAACGAGCGCGAATGTAAACAAACATTGTAAAACACGTTGCAAGGGTAAGGACGTCATAACTAATGTCACCTTCGCCAGTCAGCATTTCGCATCGACTTTTTCGATGCAGATTATAAAATTCCAGTAGTTGCAGGGCACCCCTGATAGCTTGCTCGGAGGCTACACGTTTTAGGAAAGCATTGACCTATTATCATGCTTTGAAGTTATTTCAACAAGTGCATGTGGTCAAATGTTTTCAGTTCTATGTATTTTTGTTTTATTATCATTTTGCCAAATTAAATTAAATATATAAACAAAATTGAAATGGATGAGGCAAGGCAGTAATTTTTTGCTTAATTAGTAGAGTATGTTTATACTGTGAATAAGATATTCTAATTATTTTCAATAAAATTTAGACCAAATTCAGCCAGCTTTTCCGTTATTTATAAAGAGTCTATAAATAGCTGGAAGATTTGTTCATAAACAAGAAAAAACTATTCGTAATGTGTCATGTGTAAATCGCTATTTATATATCGGACAGATTTTTAGAGATGGTTGACACGTAAATCATTATTTCTTGCATGTATAGATATTTATAAATATGAATGCCAAAAAATATTACATATTAGTGCCTCTAAATTTATAAACAGGACATCTTTTAAGATGATGAGGCAAGATCTTTTAAGATGATGATGTCGCTTTTTTTAAATAAAACGACAACAACAAGTAATGACATAATCGGAGGTTTGGCAAGCCAATAGTAAAATCATTATTTATACATAATGAAGTTCGCCTGGCATGCAAATTCATTTTTCAAAAATAATCGGAAATTTTAGGTTGTCAAGTATAAATTATTTCTGCGTAATTCTACTAAATATTAAGTACACAAAGAAAAAGAAACTTCATCTTGCCAAGTGCAAAGTGTCATGTATGCTATCATGAAAGTACCCTACTCATCTTGAGATAGAATAAATCAAGAGGTTAGATTCAATATGGATGTCGTGTGATACAGTACATAACACAAAGTTTTGATTTATACATCGTCTCACTCCGCGCGTGCAACTCTATTACAAAATAGAGTTTTACGCAACCAACAGTTAAAAAGCAAAATAAAACCCCTAAACAAACTCATTTTTTAAAGCCACACGTTTTATTAGTGTTGTGAACTGCAAAATAACATTCCAAGTGTAGAATGGATGTTTGAAATAAAGGAAATAAAGGACGGCCGAGAGAGCTTGCGTTTAGGTTAAAAAAGTGACTTTTTTCGATGAATTTTGCTATCTAAACAGTTCAAGTATTAGAAAAAGTATTACTTTAATGTTTATGAGTTGCTCTAGGAGTAAATTCACGCTTTTGTAGCAAAACTCGGTAACAGATGTTTCTGTTGGTTTCCGTCCGCCATGTTGGAGCTCATCCAGGTGAGCTCCAGCATGGCGTCTCCATACAAAGCTCTATAAATCTGGGTCAAACATTTCCTCGGATATCTCGTATACGAATTATTCCTTCGACACAAATCTTGGCGAGGGTCTTTGTATATTTACCTCCTTTCATTTCTCAGATTCTGGACTTTATCGGTCGAATGGTTTTGATTTTTATTTTGATCTGTTTTGAATGGCGTGACACTGAAAACCAGCAATAGCGAATGGACGGCTATTTGGCATTATGAGAAAATAAATGAACTAGCCAGCCGTGTCACAGCCCATTTATATTACCGCTGAATCATCCAAAAAGGCTATGATAAATTGTAGAAACATTTTTAAAGCATTCAAGATCGGTTGTTTGGATGGAAAGGAAATAGTTTGCCCCATATAAGGTAATCAAAGACAGTCTTGGATCCTGGATTCCACGTCGTGCATTCCGGATTGCAGGTTCTGGATTCCGGCGGGAGCCCTTAGCCCGGAGCGAGCAACTTCCATACGCTCGTGTCACGATGATTTCACGGACCAGTTTATTTTTAGAACGGTTTTGGTGCGAAATTTGAATATCTTTTAAATTCCACAAACCAGTCAGCAAAACCTACAGACCTAAAAATGATATTTTTTGCCTTTTAATAACGTTTAGTTTTCCATTTTGATATCTTATACTTCCGCGGGAATGTGCTCTTAAACATGGTGGAGTTTCTATTTTCGCGGGAAAAAATACCCTAAAATTAAATGTGTCTAAAATGAAATAAACTGGTCCGCAAAAACGTCGTGACATAGGCCTAGTATGGGAGTTGCTCACTCCTAGTTATGGGGTCCTGATTCCGGATTATTGGCCGGTACAACTTGGATTCCGGATTCCAATCGTTAGTGGATTCCGGATCCCTTGAGCTGTACTCCGGATTCCAAAGCCCAGGATTCCGGAATCCACAAGAAAAAAATTCCGGGAATCCGGATTCCACAAGCAAACCTTCGTCGGATTCCAGAATCCGGAGTCCCTTTAATGGGGCGAAATCGGGGAACACCTCTGAGGCGTTTGCATCTCTATCGATAATTTTTCACCGGACTGAAAGGCTCGCTAGGAATAAATTTAACCCTGTTTTCATTCTCAGCCAGCAAAAATTATACGTAAATTAAAGGGATTGTGTCACGGCAGTCCAGTTTATTCTGTTTAATTTTGCCAATTACTCGCCCCAATCGCTATGGAACTTAAAGTAAGTAGAGAAATTATATGTAAATAACAAAATCAGAGATCCGTGACAAACAAAGATGTCTCCTGAGCATTATTTTGGAAGTTGCAAGCAGCAGGGATCAACTTTGAAAAACTGTTAGGCTGAACAGTGTCCAAAAATCCTAATTTCAATCCGTTTCAATCTTCTTCAATTTTGCCCATCCGTGGCATCTGTTGTTTCTGTTATGTTATTTTAACCTTCCTTTAAAGTTTTAAGCGGTTATTTTTATGTTTCTCTTAATTTAACGGGCATTTTGTCATTGCCTAACTTGGCTGAATTTCGTGACACAGCTCCTTTAAAAGACAGTCATGCTCAGTTATAACGAAAACTCTTCTTAATACTTTTCGAGCGAGCCTGTGAGCACCCAAAGTCATAACAAAACTTTTAGTAAACACAACTTTTCTGGGCCAAAAAGTGCGCGTTTTAAGAAACGCTTAGCTTTAAGACGTTTTAGCAAGTATTTTGGGCCCGAAGTAGACTTTTCCTCAGCAAGAAGACTGAAGTGCAGGGGCTATTTTTATGAATCACTCGAAAAAACACGGCATTTTAAACAAAAATGAGCCTGTTTTTTTGCGAAAAACGAGGAACCGGAAAACTACACGTACCCAAACTTGTGGTCAGTGAAACCCCTTTATTTTATTTTCGATTCTTAAGGTTTTATTGAAACGGTAAAATCGATTCTTACAATTTTTCACATTTAAATATATATCATCGTGAAATTAAATATTATGAGCCAAATGTATGTTTTTCATTAAAAACGCGTTACTCTCAAGCGACTGAATAGAGTGATCTAACAACAGACAAGAACGTCATTTGACGACAGGAGAGCCTGGACCTGACCATATTTCGACTTCCCGTGTTTTAACGTTGCCGTCCTTCACTTTGCTTGTTTTCCCGTCACAAACTAAACCAACCAATCACCGCACTTACAGGCCAATGTCCAAATTTTGTCTCAGTGGGCCCTAAATAACGTAACAACCAGTCAAGAATGCGTGTCATTATGCCAGAAGTGATAACATGTTTTGCGCCTCACTGAATCCTAGAAACGAGTAAAATTTGAAGTTAACGAAATAAATATCTTGAGAAATTTTTTGGATATACATCTCGTGATTAACGTTAACGCTAAAAAGTCACTCTGGACATTTCGATTTCTCCGAGCTCATTTTCAACTGCGGCGAGTGAAATACAAAATTAGCATATTAAACATATTACAAATATTAAGTCTCCATCACATAAGTAAATGTTAGAAAGAGATATTTTTAAATATTGAAATATACGCGTTGAAGCAAAAAAATTAAGCTTTACGTCAAATAATCACATTTACCAGGAGCATATCACGTATTGGCTCATGAATTTACGAAATATCCTTGAAATATATATTGAGCTTTATCGCACACGGTGAATACTTTCAGTTCATGTCAATAGAATCTTGACAACTAATCTTCTGTCTTTAAATTATCAATGGTACTTCACCGGGGTTCTCCGATGGATCAGTTCGGGCAGGTGATATTAGTGGCAGATCTTCACCACTGCAGAAGGGCTGCATTTTCAAATTGTGTTTCTCCTGGTCCATCTACCTCTTCCACTAGCTCAGGTGTAATCACACCATCAGGGGAATTTTGAGGGGGGTCAACTGGGGTACTCTGGTGGCTGTCCGGTGGTATGTCTAAATATAAATCGTATTCTTTGCGAACTTTATCTCCAATGTCTTTCAAATAGGAATAGAGACCTCCAAGCCTCTTCCTTTTTGGGAACAAATTTTCAATGTACATCTTTGCTTTTTCTTTGGCACGTTCCAATGCAATGGCGTGGTACTGCTCAACGGCTTCTTGGGCTTCAACATGGCGGTAGTATTCAGAACTCGGTATTTTTAGACGCTTTCCTTTTTTCATGCATTGACTTATGCAGATGGAAATGACAAGGACGAGCACGAATATGATCATGAGTGACCAGCCTGCAATCTGACTGTTAGTTTTGTAGGTTTCTTCCATCTCTTTTGATGGAAAGCCCAGCTTAAAATGGCACTTGTCTGTCGCATTTGTAGCAGTTGAAATTCTATCGGCAAGAGGAGGTCCAAAGTATGCGCATGTGTAGTACTGCTGTTGCAAGAAAGATAGAACCAACCAGGCAACTGGAGCGACGCTTGCTAGTGTCATTGCATAGAATATAGTGAACAGTGACTTGAAATAGTGACATACAGGGCTTGTCATGGCTTTCTCGGTGTCCCTTTCAGGGCCAGTACGGCATAGAGTGTCATTCAGGAAAATGCCTAGGAAAAACAAAAGAATAGCTGGTCCGCATAGAAATGCCAGCCCATACTCGAAGTGTCTTTTGCATGGACAATTAAATACAACTTGCTGGCAAATCTCCTGGACACCCATCGTCAAGGCTACCATGGAGCAATACATCAAGGGCTGACGTGATTTTTTGAAGAGCACACAGATGCTGGATGTTACTGTGTTCATGCTGATTAATCACGGTAGATGAATATTGGTCAACAACAAATTCTTCACAATATCTCAAAATAAGCGTATTAAACTAAGCTGTACCTTGGTTTGGCCAGTGAGATTTGAGCTGGCTTATATATCTTATATCTTGGTTATTCTTCAGTTTCAAACGCGTGACACTTCGGTCAAACATGGGATTATTACGATCAGCTGAAGTCTGTTTTCGACCTATGAACAGAAGGCGGCGAGGCGAAAAACTCTTCCTGCGTAACGAATGACTCTATAACTGTTTTATCACTGAGGTGTCCGCGCTATTTTCAGTTTCTTTAAAGTATGTGTTGTGTTTTTTCTATTTCTAAGATATTGCGGTATAATGTTTAAAAAGATCTCGTTAAAAAGACAAAACATCTCACAGAATCGTCTAATGAAAGGACAGTTATTCCATCTCCTCGAACTTTCGACCGGACCCATCGGTGTAGCTAACAGTTTCGCCGAATGAGATAAAAAGCCACCGATACGACCAAACCTTCTCTAAGACATCCGAACAGATAAATAGTTTTTACTGCAGCCTTACATTAACCAAACAGGCTTCTAAAGCATTCAAAACACACTATTTGAGACACTTTTGACGTATTTGGAGACATTCGGTCGTTTGGTGCCTCTGAAATTTCTGTTGTCAGTCAAGCTCTGACCAGAAAAAGGTTAATCAAACAGGAAAAGCTTTGTCTGCTACATGAATTCAAAAACACTGTCTAAGGATTGTTCTTTGTTATTTAAAAGATAAGCTACCGTAAACTATCGCTCTGATTATAGCCCTGGCTTTATCCATCTTCCTAAGGGGGTTTAAGGGCTCATATATCGACGGGCTTATAACAAGAGGAGAAAAGCGCTTCGAAAAAAGCTATAGCAGCGCTGATCAAAATACGTTTTGCATTTACTGATTTTTAATCAAGACTCAAAACACCATAATGAATCGAATTCCAGTTCGCAGAGTGTATACTATTAAGCTTGTAGACCACGAAGCCGTAATTAACGTTCGCTTGTAATGAATGTTTGATTTCTTAATACGAAAATGATTCCACTCTTCTGTTACAATGTTCCAGTTTTAGCTGTTTTGCCGATAAGTTAAACAGACGTATATATACATTACGAATGGGTTCAGCTTAAGATTTTGCTGGTGTCACCCATAAGCCGGACACCTGTCTAAGACGGACAGTTGGAACCGTCCCCGAAGGTGTTTGTCTTCGAGAGAGCTGAATGCACGTCGCTATTCAACTCGTTTTACAGGAAGTGTTGAAAAACAATTTGCACGTTTCTAGTTGCCTGTTTTACCGTACCGTTATAAGCATTTGCTAACATTCCAACTATGCAGCTTGATTAATCACAAGTTCATTTACTTATAGAGAGGCGAATTGTAATTTGAGGCAAAAATAGAAATTTGCTGCAGCAGCCTACAATATGTTTAACCTTAAACGCCGTAAGCTTTGGAATAGTTTTCATATCATCACGTTTTATAGCGCCTGCGAACAAGCTCTCCGGAGTGCTCTGACAGGGGGGCGGGAAAAGGAAGGAGAGCTTGCAACTACGTCTCTGGAATTTGAATTCAACCTCCAACTGCCGTCGATTGAGCTGTCAAATTTTCGCTAATCAGCGCGAAGCGGAAACGAGCGAGAATGTAAACAAACATTGTAAAACATGTTGCAAGGGTATTGACGTCATAACTAATGTCACCTTCGCCAGTCTGGCATTTCGCATCGACTTTTTCAGACTTTTTTAGTCCTATTTATTTTTTTTTATTATCATTTTGCTAAGTTAAATTAAACATATAAACAAAATTCAAACGGATGAGGCAAGGGAGCAGTTTTTTGCTTAATTAGTAGAGTAAGTTTATATTGTGAATAAGATATTCTAATTATTTTCAATAAAATTTGGGCCAAATTCAGCCTTACAGCTTTTCCGTTATTTATAGAGAGTCTATAAATAGCTGGAAGATTTGTTCATAAACAAGAAAAGACTATTCGTAATGTGTCATTTGTAAACCGCTATTTATATATCGGAGAGATTTTTAGATATGGGTGACATGTAAAATCATTATTTCTTGCATGTATAGATATTTATAAATATGAATGCCAAAAAATATTACATATTAGTCCCTCTAAATTTATAAACAAGACGTCTCTTAAGATGATGAGGCAAGATCTTTTAAGATGATGATTTCGTTTTTTTAAAAAAAAACGACAACAACAAGTATTGACATAATCGGAGGTTTGGCAAGCCAGTAGTAAAATTATTATTTACAAATAATGAAGTTCGCTTGGCATGCAAATTCATTTTTCACAAATAATGGGGAATTTCACGTTGTCAAGTATGAATTAATTGATGTCATTTTTTTAAAAAAAACGACAACAACAAGTATTGACATAATCGGTGGTTTGGCAAGCCAGTAGTAAAATTATTATTTATAAATAAGGAAGTTCGCCTGGCATGCAAATTCATTTTTCAAAAATAATCGGAAATTTCAGGTTGTCAAGTATAAATTATTTCAGAATGTATCTGTAAGTAATGAACGTCTAGCTTAAAGTGTAATTCTACTAAATATTAAATACTTTTAAGTAAGCAAAGAAAAAGAAACTTCATCTTGTCAAGTGCAAAGTGTCGTGTATGCTATCATGAAAGTACCCTGCCCATCTTGAGATGAAATAAATCAAGATTCAATATGGCTGTCTTGTGATACACTACCTAACACAAAGTTTTGATTTATACACGTCTCACTCCGCGCGTGCAACTCTGTTACAAAATAGAGTTTTACGCAACCAACAGTTAAAAAGCAAAATAAAACCCCTAAACAAACTCATTTTTAAAAACCACACGTTTTATTAGTGTTGTGAACTACAAAATAACATTCCAAGTGTAGAATGGATGTTTGAAATAAACGAAGAAGTCCATCCGAAGAAACAAATCCGTGACAAAAAATCTCTATCTGCCGGAAACGGGATCTCTAATATGTATGTAGAGAGACATTACTAGAACTTTTATTTGGCTGTGTGATTAATAATGGTAATTGAACTAAGTGGAGAGCAATTTGGTCTGAAATCATACGCGTAATTTCAAAATCGAACGAGCGCGCAGCGTGAGTTCGATTTGAAATCACAAGTATGATTTCAGACCAAAATTGCACGACACGAAGTTCAATTACCACTTTATTACATCCATTTTGAAATCTCAGAATTTAGTCAGCACTAATATTTTATTGTTTGAGTAGCCGGTTTGTTAAAAAGCCGAAACAAAAAGGCTTTTACATCTCACTTTTTGTATTCGAAACAGAAAGGATGCGCTATAGAACAAAAATGGTGCGATTTAAAACAGAAATGATGCGATTTAGAACATGAATGACGCCATTTGGAACAGATGCGATTTAGAGCAAAAAATGGTGCGATTTAGGAATAAATCACACTGCTGAGAGCCAATCAGATTGCATGGATAGCCAGTGATTTCAAAGTGGATGTAATAAAGAATGGTATCTTTTAGGTGTCAAATAAAACTCAAGCCTTGACCAGATCGTTCTCATCCAATTTTCCGGACGAGCATCCCAGAAAGATTAGATGACCGAAACTCGAAATATGACCATAACCATTGTCGCGTAGTCTTTAACAAACAAGAACTGTCTTAGTAGCCTTCAGTCTCGCTTTCTTAGAGATAAGATAAGAAATGAGGAGGCGATTAGACCGCGAGCGTTCGTCCTTCTTTCCTCAGAGCCACGCGCGGCGAGCAAAAAAGTAGAATTATGCTCTCGACCTACTGTGGCTCAAAAGAAAAATAAGAGACTGCCGGTAGTCTAAGAGACGATTAATTCTAGACGAAACAGGATTTCCTCGCTAAAAGGTTTTCAATTCCTACTTTATCGACGGTCGAGTATTCTTCAGGATATTTCAGTACTTTTCAATCATCGTTGAAAATAGACCGCATGCTCATCAGAAGACTTATTTGCATACAATGAAAGTTTACAACACCCGACCAGTTAGCCTCACCATCGAAATTTTGCTCATTAACTTTGTTCTTTTTATCTACCACTGAAGTAATCACTTGTTCCAAAGCAGTCAACGCTTTCAAGCTATAGAATAAATGGACTGACGCTTTCCGGAAAAGCTCGACATCTTTCGCAGCCTTCTATTCTATAGACATGAAGTGCTGCGAGTAGAGTGCGTGACAGTCAAGTACAACACATCCGTAACGTCAGTTAAGCGTTGCTTCCAGTAGATGTTGAAGGTTAAATCATTGATGTCTCAAGTATTTATAAAGTGCAACACGACTTCACATCTTAACAAGTGCGAAAATCTATCAATTAAATACAATTAAATACAATTAAACTTCAGAAAATCGTAGGGAATTTATTATATAAAATTGTACATGAACAGAACGGTCATCTTGAAATTTTTAGACGTCCCGAACTGACAGAAAATTGTAGGCAATATTTGCATCTCCGAACAGACATTTTACAGTCGTTGGGTGCCCCTGTTTAATGCTCTGGAGACAGGTATGTTTGTCATGACTGTGATCTTGTCATTCACTTAAGTCATTCACAAGTAGTATAAAGTCTATAGCGAATGGACGGCTATTTGGCATTATGACAAAATGAACTAGCCAGCCGTGTCACAGCCCATTTATATTACCGCTGAATCACCCAAAAAGGCTACGATAAATTGTAGAAACACTTTTAAAGCATTCAAGATCGGCTGGTTGGATGGAAAGGAAATAGGTCGCCCCATATAAGGTAAGCATATGCAAAGACAGTCTTGGATCCTGGATTCCACGTCGTGCATTCCGGATTGCCGGTTCTGGATTCCTGCAGGAGCCCTTAACACGGGGCGAGCAACTTCCATGCGCTCGTGTTACGGCGATTTCACGCACCAGTTTTATTTTACAACGGTTTTGGCGAGAAATTTGAATATCTTTTACACCAGGCAGCAAACCCTACAGACCTAAAAGTGGATTCAGTGGATTCCGGATCCCTAGAGCTG